AAATGCCCTCAATTTCTGCTTTTACATAGCTCGGACCTATTTTCAAGAATCAAACGAGCAAGAAACTAATATATTTCAAATTTATCTTGAAAATACTCTATCTTATAAGATGGCGACTGTATAAACACGACGGCGGCTGCGGTTATGGTTTTGAAACGTCGTTATGCTGAGGATTCCGTTCTATCAAAATGAAATTGAAATTCGAAGTAATTTCAGGAGAATGATCTCTGTGTATTTACGAAATTAAATAGATGTTTTTTATGGAAAAGTGCATAACATTATGAAATTTATGTAACTTTTATTAGATAGAGTACGAGACATTCTTTTAAATAAATTTAAATTAAGAGGGTCCAGTCGTCGAACATTATATTTAACAAATGTTTATCTATGGCAGTCACTATAAAATAAAAAAAATGCTTTATACTATAGTAGACATAATTATAAGTTTATTAAACCGAAATTGTTTTAATATTTATTTATTAGTTACTCTTTTTCTATTTTTTATTCTTTCGTTGTTCTGCAAGTTTATAGTTTACCAGGCTAAATAAGCTTTTGTCTTAAAAGGCTTTTCACATAAGAGATGGAAATATACGTATGGCTTAGAAACTGCGCCAACGAGTCATCATACTTTGTCATAAAACGAGTAATTGATCAAAACTGTCACATTTAGACTACAAAAATGTCAATTGAGCTAAAACCTTAATGCTTAACATAGAATGTTAATAAAATTATTAAAAATCTCAAGAGAGCAACAGTGTATCGCATATCTTTACTTAAACTAATATTTGCCTAGTATACGTAACAATGGCTCTTATATATAACCATTCGCTTCAACCAACCGCAAAAGTTCATGGAAATGTGACATATTATGTGAAGATGTTTATATACGCAAGGTTATTTTGTAGCCAATATCTATTACAATTCGGCTTACGTACTAAATTATGAGCTTAGTCGCTGCAGTAGACGCGGGCAAGATTTGTGGCAGTCGCGCCTTACCCGGAAAGCGGAACTTCCAAATAGTTTCCCGTGCACGCAGTAATAAGCTAACATGGCTAGCTTCAAGGGGTTCGCATCGAACTGTATTAATAGGTTTCTATTAAATTGACATGGAAGTTACGAAGAACTACGGCGTGATTTACGTCGCCTGGCCGCAAACCGTTTGGGCAAACAGCGGTTAGTTTTCACTGATCTGAAAGTTCAATTCGGTAATTAACTTTAAAATTTTAAGCAACGGTGTTGTTGTTTACTAATAATATAAATAGTTAAGAAAATATTTCTACATTAGAATGATTAAAATTTTTTATACGTGTCTTAATCATCCTCCTGTCCTTATACCACCTAGAAGGGGTCGCCAGAACATGTGAATCATGTTCTTAGCGGTATTGTTAGTATTATTGGCTAGGTTTTTCATTGCCTGTTATCAACACTACTTGGGAAAAAAACCAGACCCGGATCAATTATCTGTGTGGCTCACAAATGTGGTAATCGAACCCACGACCCTCGGCGCCGAAGTCAAATTATACAAGGAAGGAATAAATATTTGTAACGATATAGTTTACTAAGAATAATTTAATATCAAGACTTTAAGGTCTTACAGAAATTTCATCTAAGGTTAGTTAGTTTTATAAGAACTTTAAAATAAAAAAATACGTCCTATTTTCAATTAAAAGTTAGTTTCCTAGTTAAATTACGGAAGTCAGTAGATGAAAAAAACGAAGTGTAATGTTGACAACATAACTTAGCGTGGCCAATAGACACTCTGATTAATTAAAACTTAAGAAATCGTTCTAAAGTTTTTAATTTGTTAACTTTCTTAAAGTTAACGTTTATTTAGATGGTTACATTTTATTACAGTCAATTTTTATTAGAAACTTGATATATTTCTATAAAAGTCTAAGGGATTCTTTATATATATGTTAATTAATTGTTCACAAGACAAGACAAGAGTTGTCTTTAATGAGCATATACTTTGAATACGTCTACATGCCTCACAACAAATGTCAATTTCATATTACTGTTTTATATTATCTGCTGTTTTATATGTCTGCGTAAAGGCATTGTTTTATACGCGCATCGACTGTATTCGTGTGTGTAACGTAAGCAAAAAATTCCCCATTTCAGTAGTAAATTAGATTTTTAGTAATTAGATTATTAGTAATAGGTTATGTTTATACTAACAATATATTTTACTATGTTTTTCTCGGCAAATCTTCTCGTCAAATATACCTCAATGTTTGAAGACTAAGTCGCTATGCTCGGTATTTCTCTGCGTGATAGTGTTCGTAACGAAGACATCCACAGTAGAACTAAGGTGACCGACATAGCTCAGAGGATTAGCAAGCTGAAGTGGCGATGGGCCGGCCATATAGCTCGGAGAACCGATAACCGTTGGGGAAGAAAGGTTCTCGAGTGGCAGCCTCGTACTGGCCATCGCAGTGTGGGACGACCCCCCACTAGATGGAGTGACGACCTGTGCAAATGTGCGGGAAGTCGATGGATGCAGGTGGCTCAGGATCGTACTTCGTGGCAGTCTATGGGGGAGGCCTATGTTTAGCAGTGGACTCAAGCAGGCTGAAATGATGATGTTTTTCTAAAAATATTAATGATAATTATCAAAAACTTTCTAACAAAAAGTTAAGCCTAGGACGTAAACATTTAAAAAAATTCGATGTGCAGGGACCCAACGGACCCAAAGTTTCAACAGCAAATGCATAATTAAAAAAAAACTCTAGACTCATATTTGCGCCACTTACAAAAATAAACTAATATACTTACTTAAATATACTTATAGTAAAAAATGAGATTTTTTACAATATTTTACTTCTTTATATGTATGAAAGATTCTAATAAGACTTTCCCTTATACCCGAAAATTTGCGTGTCATAATTCAATAAAACATTTTCATAAATATTCCTCTCGATAAATGGATGTGAAGGCATCAGTGGCGTATTTTATTATACTTAACATCTAACGCTTAAAATGCTTGAGACTTTTGCATTTGTTTTCGAGGTATCTTTCGATTATGGTAATAAGTAAAAAATACGCTTCTACTTTTAATGTAACATTATTTACGTTTTGCAGTAGTTTAGTCAATACATAATGTAATGTGTATGATCAAGTCCACAGTGTATTTGTATCTGCTTCAGTTATATCGTATGGAAAAGCTGAACAAACCCGTAAATGTCCTTATATAATCACATGTATATTTGTGCCCTTGAGTTGAGGCTCACACCAATCAGTTCAGCATTAATTCAATCTTCCGAAGCTGTTCATTTCTATGTGATGCTAATCTTAATATGATGCATAGATGCAAAAACCGTGAAACTAGACATGTAAAAAATGTGAGACACAGTTTTTGATACTTTTGATTAGCTTATTATATGGATAATATATATTGATAATTAAAAAAATTAGACGCTTTTACACCTCTTAATTCTAACAGGAAAGAAAGAGATAGTAGACAGAGGGGCCTAAGATCGCGGGCTTTATTAAATTTAAGAAATTTTTTTAACGTAATAAAATCTTGTAGAGAAATATTAAATAGAAACGTTTTTTGTACTGATGACTAAAGGGCACTATTAAAAATTTACTTAATAAAATCACTATAATAATATAGATCTACTTTTGAAAGAAATACTGCCCGGAATTGAAGTGCGCAAAGTTAATTGAATGTGTGGTTTCGCCACACGTTATAATTTGTGGATATTATATGTTTAAAATAATTTTTATTTAAATCTTAAATTTATTTTTATTTATTTAGGGATTATCGATTATGTGTTAAGCTCAAGCGTTCATTTTGTCAAATCACAATCGAATCTCAGGTGTTCTTTGGAGAGTGCTTATGATATTTGATAAAGGAGTTTTTTTCTTAACAACGAGACGTATATTTTCTCATTTTGCCCTCAAGGACGTCGCACCTGCCATATTAAGTTGACATATTAGTACGTTGTTTTACGCAATATTCATGAACCAATAATTTTAGTACAGGAAAACTAATCAATGACTATCAGTTTAAGTCTTGAGTTAGTCCTAGATCTAAGTCAATTTCGATATGCAAAAAAGTTTCCCGAAAGAAAGAAATACCTAAAATATCTTTCTTTCATCAGAAAGTTATATGCTCTTCTTAAAGTTCCATGTCAAACGAAATAAGATAGGTGGTCTAATAGTTCAGTATTCTTTATAATGTATGACAATAACACTAAATTACATATTTTCGAAAATTCAATAAAATCCGTTCAAATAAAAAAGGACCGCAATCAATCGTCTTATATTCAAGAAATAAATTTCTTCATGAAAATTCATACAGAATCGAAACCAATTTATCTACTCAAGTCGACTTCAATTTTGCTCTAGCGAATGTTTATGCATAACTTATTTGTTTTACCCATCATTAAGTAAGATCCAAAGCTAGCAAAGATATTAAGCCAACTCCTCATCTTCTAAAATCATAAGAGATCCCTAAGCGCTCAATTAAACTTTTAGTTGGGAAGACGCTTCCTACGCCCTTAAATACTTTAATTTATTTACAACTTTGCAAAGACTTTCGTGCTTTCTCAGACTCCTTCGATACCTCGGCGTCGTCGGTTAATTAAACTTTTATGAAAATAACCGCTTCGGGGCTCGTTTTCAAATGACAAATAGTGTTGCAAACTCAACGGCGGGAACGGACGGGCATCCGGGTTCATTGTACACCGCCGATGTTCAAACTTGTTGCAATAAATTATTAAAACATTACAACAAAGTTCGCACTAATTTCTGCCCTAACTTAACGTAACACGATTTAGTATGGAATAGAATACCACTAGCGAACGGAAACACTGGATATCCCAAAAAACCGGACGACGGTAGCGATAAATTTGTAAAATTCAAAAACGATCCGTGCATTTTCACGGGCGAAATGTTTTCGCGTGACCGTAAAGTTTCCCAGCGCGGCGGAAAATCTAATGAAACGTGCCCCGCAAAAATTTTTCCTTGGCAGTCACAACGAATTTTGTCCGTCACAACTTTTGATTGAGCTCCTTACCTATGTACCTACTTGCGCTCTTCGCCATCGTCTCCGTCAACTGGCAGCAGAACGAGATTGAGACGAAGCTGAGGAACAATCCTTGGTAGGTTTCCTTGATCATTGCTGCACTTTTCTTCTTATCGCACTAGACTGTGGCACCGCTTCACATACCCTTAGCGGGCATTCACCTCACATCCTCGCCGGTTGTTTGTTGTTTGCCCTAGTGCGGTGCGCGTCACTCCGAGTGAAATGCGCCGATAGTGGTATCGCTGAAAGGTCGAGTGCCCTCGACGAGCGAGCTACGACTGAACTAGGCCCCGACTCGAGCGAGAGAAGCGGTCCACTGCGCATTGCATACTCGGGGGTTGACTGTGTGTTTTTACATATTTTTTTTTCTCGTTTTAACGAGGTAACAAGACTTTTTATTTGCAGCTAGTTAGTCCGCATTTTTATTTACCGAAAGAGTTTCGATTCGAAATGCGATATTAGAGTTGTCGCGATTTGCATTTCGCTGGATGGAGGAATGTATTCTTCTGTTGAGAGATCTCCGGATAAGAGCATCGGGATGAACACGAGATTCTATTTCTGCAGTTTTTATCGCTATCGTATTTCAAAGGGGAACGAATGTTGAAGTAGTTTTATTCAGGTATTTCATGTTCGCAAGCGTCGCTGTTACGAGAACTTACTTCTTTATTTATGAGTACAGGTTCGAAGTCAAGTAAACTTTGTGAAAAGTTGGTCGAATCGGAACGTTTGCAAATTTTATCCGTTTTTCTACGATTACTTTACAATGATATGTTGTCGGTATTATTTAATAAAAATAATTTATTTTTTATTATTAACGTGTTGATTTTTTACCGCGTCTTAATGCTACTTATATTTTTACTGATGTTTTTGTTTTAACTACTACACATTTTCTTCAAATTTTTTCTACAATTTTTAATGTTTCAAGCATAAGGCATTTGCGTCTTTTATCTTCATGTTTTATAACTTAAAATGCGACAAAAAAATAAAAGATTGAGATTTTCGTCGGTGTGGCAATCAGCCGTTTGGCTTATAGCTTAAAGCGTCTGGGTGCAAATCAGGAAGACGTGGGTTCGATATTCGCAGCGGGGAAAAACTTTTCGTCCTTTTCTCTAAAAATTTTCACGTTTTCAAGCTCTAAGATTGTTACTATGAAAAATTACTATGTATGAATGACATAGAATTCCTATATACTTAACGAAACAAAACACTTCGCGTGATAGCAGTTGGCAAGATACCATCAAAACCATAAAAACCATAGCCCACCCCATCCGCGAAATAATTTCATGTCTTAAATTGTAACAAGAACTACGATTGGTATATGTTTCATTTTCTGAAAATGAAACTATACACGTTTGTATCGATGGTTATTATCATAATTATGTTGGGTAATAATTACTGATGTTTACACAAATACTTCAAGTTATTGAAAGAAAATTTTATTAATCTTATCGCTGTTTAAGTCGATGTCAAAATCGGGCCGCGGGAGAATTTTGGATTCCAATTACGATAAATTATGTTCGAAACTGTCAAATCACACATTTACTAATCCAGTTTTCCTTATTAAACAGTTACACACTTTGGCAAAATGCGCCAAAGAAAATTGCTTTTCACATAAAATATGAGGTGGCTCGGAACTCTCTGTATGCAAATGCGGTTTTTTATCCTTATTTTGTAATTGGAGATTTGAGTCGATCTAACATACACTAAGATTGGAATTGTGCAATGGTGAGTAATAAATAAAATTTTATCTGTATTTCGTACTTCATATTCCGTTTCATACCACGCTTTTGTTCCTAGAAACTTACCTAGGTTAGTTTTCAAACAAGTTAAATTATCGGATATTTTAAAATTTTCTCTTTGCAGTTGCAAGGTGTACTATTTCAAAATCAACTCAATCTAGCCAATTCCCGGGAAAAAACTTTGTTGTTTGTAAACTAATCATGTCTGACTAACCATATTTCTAAGAACAAGAACAGCTAGGAAAGTTTATTTGGCCTCGCTTTTAATTAAGGAATGATTTATGGTATATAATGAATTTCGTGACTATTTGAATTATGCCTTGATTATAAAATTTAAATTAATTTGTAGTTGATTTACTGCAACATAATATTATATAATGTTTTTGCGGATTAATCAAAGAAATAATTATGCTATCAAGTCTTTTATTATGATCAGTCGTGTTTATAGCACTCTAGGTTGAGGGTTAAGGATTTGCGAGGGTATCGAGCATATTATTACGGAAGCCTTTTGTTCTTAAAGTTTACTGACAAATTGTCTAGAATATTCCCCGCATTATCCTTTATAGAAATGATGCTTTGCCTGCAGTTCAATCCGTTCCAGATCGTTTAGTAGTCGCAAATGGTACATTGTTATGTAACTAATGTGTAAGAATATTTTATCCCTCAATATTCTTTGTCGTATAGTATCAAGCCTCCTGATAATCATTCCTTCCTCTTTTACAACAAAGACACGAAAGCCTAGAGTTTGGTTCTTATAATTAATTTAAATTTATTAATTAATAATTATTAATTTTAACTTATTAATTATGAAAACGTCCTGCTGACTCAATACTTGTTTCACTGAAAGGGGCAACGAGGCTCTATCAGAGTGGCCATGAACACCTTAGTCACCTTACTACAGGCAGGGGATATCTAAGAATACCTTCCATCCTATTATCACTGAGTTGGGGTCTAATTATTTACTCCATGTTTATTATGTGAGTAACGTGATTAGCCTATTGCGACATCAGATAGCATATTCGAGATAATATTGCAAGTACTCTAGTTGATCGGCGAAATGAATTCATTTTACTCAAGCCACCTGAGGCAAACTCCGATACTAAGTAGTAAAGAGGTTACCTTTTCCCACCAGTGGGATTTATACAGATATGCTATCTATAAATTTTTTTTTGCTTTCCTCTTTCTGCTGTTAATTATTCCTCGTAAAGGGCATCTTAATGTATTAATTACTTCTGATAGTCTGCAGTCGGAACAGCAAAATACAATTGAGCACACGAGTTAATTAGAGCGGATGTTTACTTATTGTGCATAAATCGATGCGTCTTTCATTTAAATTATAAAACAAATCGAATTAATGCGCGTTCTTTGAAACCGCATCGTTTAAACGGCCAGGCTGCCACTTCGACGTAAATTAATGGCGCAAATTAAAAACTTTTCTCAAGTGGACAGTTCTTTGAGGGTCAGACTTTGCCCTGCTACGCTTTTTGCATAAAAACAGTGGCGAACGCAAGGTTTGATTTATTGGCTAGGCAAGCAGGGCTATTTCGATGGATTTAATGAATTTGTACACAATGAATCCTTTTAGTATTCCGCACCCAAAGGGTAAAACGGAACACTATTACTAAGACTAGATAGTCTCATGAACCGTGAAAGTTACGTTAGTTTACTGTTAAGTTAGTTTAGCTGAAGTTTTCAAAGATGATGTATTTCTGTTGCCGCTATAACAACAAATACTAAAAAACGTATTAAAAATATTTAAGTGTGGCTCCCATACAACAGATGTGACTTTTTTGTCGTCTATGTAGAGAATGGTACGGAGTCCAATTCGCACTTAGCCGGTTTTTTATGTGCGCAGGTGACCATACGCCAGTCTTCTGTGAGGTTGTGGTACTTCCCCAGACGGACCTGTCCATTCGTACAACAGAAACTATTGCTTAAAAACTTAACATTTTGAAGACTGGTAGGGCTACTACCACTCTTCAAAATGTTAAGTTTTTCAAATTGTTTGTTGTTACTCTTACAATTTTACAACTGAAATTAGTTTGAAATATTATACAGTAGTCACGAGTAATTCACGGGTGCAGAAAGAATCTCCTATAATTATAAAGCAAGCAAATTGAAACTTAAAACTGGAATTCAAATTTAAAATTAGTAATTTAATTATTATGCATCAAAATTGGCATAAACAAGCAATTAGGACGGTGAGTCGTGTCGTGTCGTGTGTACTGTTAGAACCAGTCCCAAAAATGTTATTTTAAAATTCGTTCCTACTGTTTTTATGCTCTCCGTTCTAAGGAAGGAGGCGAGGGTCTAATTGGATTCTGAGGTATAATAATTGAATCGACGCTTATGTTATTAGGCAGAAGATAATTGTTATTACGCAAAGTACATGCTATGAATGTACACAAAGTATATGCATTTGCATCTATTATGTACTTTGCCTACCATAATCTTAAATAATAAAGGGAGAACAAGTGCCTTAAGTGTGGAAAATAGGTTCACGCGTCATTTGATCTAATTAGGGTAGATAGAAGAATCTGATGAACTTTCACCGAATTTATTAAATCTCAAGTGACGAGCGATGGACATGTCGCCGTTCCCAGATAATAAATGTGAGCGCAGCGTATCGATTTAGATCTTTTAACAGTTCAGTAACTTTTCTACCTTTAACCAAAACGAAATCGATACCAGCTGACTATTTACAATCAACCGGTGAAATTAGAATACAACAGATTACTAATACAAAATTCTTTTAGTTCAATTGTGAAGAAACATATATTAAATTAAATGTAATCGAATCCGTAACAAGGTCTCATTTGCCCATTTTATACTGTTCCCATAAAAACATTGTATGATAAATTGTACGTAACAATATGTAGTTTATAAAACATATCGATACCGTACTCATTTCCTTTTGAAGTAAAATATTTTTTATGTTGATGTTTTTTATGTACGGGGTAAAATATACTTACATAAATTTTGATTATGGAATCCTTTCAAAATTTGAGATGAAAAAGAGCCCGGCCTGAGTAAATGCCACGAATAGAATAGCTTTTGTTTCCTCACAAAGTGACAGGCCTTTTTGAATCGTCGTTCCTTAAAGCTCTTTTTTTTTTTCAATATAAAAGTAAAGACTTTTCTGATTTGATTCTACTCAAACTCAGAAATTGATTAGCTACGAGTATGTAGCAGTTGATTCACAAAATGTTGGTAAATGGCGAGGAATCTGATACTTTAATGTAATTTTTTTGGATAACGATTGCCGTAACAAGAAAAAACCTACTATACATAACTATATGTTGATAAAAAATTTATACTGCTGTATCTTCTATGTCTTGATATTTCTGTAAATTATTAAAAGTAAAAATGTTTATACAAAATACAAATAGGTACATAATTATTTATAGGATATATTATTTTTTCCTAAACTACTTGAAGTAATTTACTTGGAATGCCTAATTAAATAACTTTTCTAAAGTTCGTAAATTAAATGGTGAAATATAAAAAAAGGTTCCAGCAAGCACATATTAATTAACCGCTATGGCCTACTTCTTTTGACGACTGCGTCGGAGTCTCTGTGTCAGA